ATGGGATTGTTTCCTTAATTTCTCTTTCTGATGGTTTGTTATTAGTGTATAGAAATACAACAGATTTTTGTGTACTGATTTTGTATTCTGAAACATTATTGAATTTGTTTATTAGTTCTAACAGTTTTTTGATGGAGTCTTTAGGATTTTCTATATGTATATTACATCATCTGCAAATAGTGACAGTTTTACTTCCTTCTTTCCAGTTTGGATGACTTTTATTTCTTTTTCTTGCCTAATTGCTGTGGCTAGGATTTCTAATACTCTGTTGAATAAAAGTGGCAAGAATGGGCACTCATGTCTTGTTCCTGATCTTAGAGGAAAAGCTTTCAGCTTTTCAATTTAGAGCATTCCTTGATACTCACATGCCAAGTTTTAACTGTTAATTGGCATGGACATGAAAAACGGCCTGAGAGAGTCATGAAAATCAAGTGCTCAGTGAAGAGGGTCTCAGTCATCCGACCAGGCATGCCAGCTGGCCCAGGAGACAGGGTAGCCAAGGACACCCACAATGGTAGAGTAGGGCACGGAGGTGATGCATATCAATCATGGCCTTCAGAAGAACTGCAGCCATGTGGGCTGTGGTTTGTGCCAGAAACCTCCTCTGGTAAGCTTTCTAAGGAATTATGACCAATAAGAATCCTTGAAAAACTGTGACTAGCTAGCATGAAATTAATGTGTGAAGAAAATGGATCTTCGTGGTGCAAAGAGTGGATTACAGCATATGCTGTTGCTATTAGACTTCCTTTGCTATTTCCCAGATGCAGTGTTGGCTGCCATTTTTTCAGAACATTGCCCAAGTATTGCCTCACCTGGATTTGCCTGCAGTTGTGCCTGTCCCCCAGGGCCAGTCCTTTGCTAAAGTCTTTTGATGCAGATGTATAACCACTAACTTCTAGATGGACAGCCTTTGTTCTACAATTGATGTTACAGAGTGCCCTCAGGATCAGGTAGAGGCTAGACATCTCAAAAACACTTTCTGTATTTTCTTTACCTCTTATATCCTACTTGTTGATCACTCACACAAGTTTTTCCTGATAGCACTCCTTCAATAAATCACTGGCAAAAAAATTGTCATCTTCAGAAGGATCTTGCTTCTAGGGAATCCAACCTGAGATGGATGGTGATACAAGTCATGACATTGGTGAAGAGAAGGGAGTGACTGGGGCAAGATGTTCTCTAATGTTCTACTTCCCAATCTGATTGGTGATTACAAGGGTGTGTTTACTTGTGAATACTTAACACTTTATACTTAACGACTTATGTGAACTTCTGTACAAACTTACATAGAAATTAAAAAGTTTTTAAATATACACACTCTTTCACCATACAATTCTGCTTTTAAGAATTTGTCCCAAGGGAATATTTGGATGAGTAAACAAAATTATATGTACACCATAAAAAATAAACTAAAATGATATTTAATACTAAATTATTACTTTAACCAAAAATGTTGACCAATTATTCTAGTTCAAATTACAGTACTTAGAATCTGGATATATGGAAAGAAGAAAAACAGGAAGGAAGGAAGGAAAGAAGAAATTATTAACCCTTTACATAGAATAGCTTTAAACAGGAACAAACAGTGGGCTCTGAGGAGGTCGGACTTTGCCTGGGACACTGATTTGTTTGGAGGTTGGGGGTGGTTGGTATCTAGAGATGTTTTAATTGTGAAGTTATGTTGTAGCTGAAATTTTAAAGATAAACAAGAATTTATCAGATGATTACTTTCCATTAAATATGTGTCTTGAAAAGATTTGCTGAAAAATTTTGTTGTTGGGGCCCGTTTCTTTCCCAGAGAATGTCATCTGGACAGCATGGTTTTATACACACAAAATTGCTAGATAGGGATCTTTTCCCCAGGCAGTGTAGAGCAATCTGAAAGCATGATGATGAAAATAATAGGTTTTATTTTCTTAACTCTGCTTCTGAATAGCTGTGTGATCTTAGGCAAGCCTAATCTTTCTGGGATACCTTCCCAAATATGTAAAATGATGATGTTTGAAGTTCCTTCTGGTGCTAAAATGCTCTGTTTTTAACTTGGATGCACTTGTTCTTAGAATCAGATACCCTATTAGAATTCAATAAAAATTGTATTTAAAATTATAGCAAAATTACATAGCATAAATGAAGATGATACTATTTCCCTATTATTATTATTATTATCTTTATTTAGTTTCTATGTATGCTTTACAATAATTTTGGTAGATGTTTCAACACAAAATACATAGAACAAAATGTTATAAGTTCATGTTACAAAGACTATGAATACTTGCATCAACAGAGAAAAATGGAGGCTTTAATAGATCAATTGAAGATATCATGGACTCACCTGGTTTCATAAATGGTATAAAGTTTTCTATGTTCTTTCACTGCATTCCTGAAAAAAAAAATAAAAGAAGTATAAAATATAAGCTTCAAATTTATTGCTAAGATCTGAAATTCATTCAATAAGCATGTTCTAAAATTGTGCCTATTTGGTAAAATACCACCACTAGCTTTTTGTGAAATTCAAGAAATAATACTTAAAGAAATATGCACACATTTTAAAAAGTAGTGGGGCCAGCCCAGTGGCATAGTGGTTAAGTTCACGCACTCTGCTTTGGCAGCCTGGTGTCTGCAGGTTCAATCCCAGGCACAGACTTACGCAGTGCTCATCAAGCCATGTTGTGGTGGTGTCCCACATACAAAATAGAGGAAGATTGGCACAGACGTTAGCTCAGGGACAATCTTATTCAAGCGAAAAGAGGAAGATTGGCCACAGATGTTAGCTCAGGGCGAATCTTCCTCAGCAAAAAAAGAAAAAAAAAGGAATACACATCACATTAGATAAGCTTAGGCTCTGATAGTAGCTGGAATGGTTACTAAACCACTGCTTAAATTTTAGTGAAAAAGACAGAAAAAAAAACAATAAAAAAAAGAGATAATTTCAAATAGTGATATGTGCAGTGACAAAAACAAAAAAAGTAATATAATAGAAAATGACTTGAGCGAAGCTATATTAAATAGGATGGCAAGAAAACCTTCTTTGAGGAAATAAATGTTTAATTAAAGTCTGAATCATGGAAGAAGTTAACCATGCGATTTGTAGGAAAAAAAGCAACATAAAGTTCAAAGTTCCTAAGATGAAAATAAGCCTGATCTGTTTGAAAAAAGGCATCATCATCTTTGTCATCATCATCTTCATCATCATCATACAATGGTGACAAAAATAATAGTTATATATTGATTACTATGTACGAGGCACGGTATTTCACATATGAAAGAGTCACTTAAAATAAAAATAATTGAGGGCTGGCCCCATGGCTTAGCGGTTAAGTGCACGTGCTCCGCTACTGGCGGCCTGGGTACGGATCCCAGGCGCGCACTGACACACCGCTTCTCCGGCCATGCTAAGGCCGCGTCCCACACACAGCAACTAGAAGGATGTGCAACTATGACATACAACTATCTACTGGGGCTTTGGGGGAGAAAAAAGGAGGAGGATTGGCAATAGGTGTTAGCTCAGAGCCGGTCTTCCTCAGCAAAAAAAGAGGAGGATTAGCATGGATGTTAGCTCAGGGCTGATCTTCCTCACACAAAAAAATAAATAAATCAATAAAATAAAATAAAAATAATTGAAGTAAACCAATGGAGGTGAAATCCATAATTCAAGGCAGTAAAACCATCATTAACAATGAAAAACTCTGTAACAGTGATGGGGAAGGAAAACAAAACCTGAGGCCTGGCCTTTAGCCTTTCTCTGATCCCTGCCACCAGCCTGGAGAGCCACCACCTCAGCAGAACATGAGCTCACAGACAAAATTACTAGACATTGGAGAAGTACATCTAGAATTAAGAAGAAAAAGACTAGGCAACATTTTCTGCAAGAAGTGGAATTATTGAAAAAGATGGAGCAGGAAATGAAATAACCAAAATAAATATCTCAAAGAGGCAAGAGAACAATAGTAGTATGGAAAATGAAGAAGATATAAAAAGGAATCTGGTAAATTGTTAGTTATGAAATATAGAACTGTCTTAAGAAAGAATATGTTTAAAGAGATAAATAAAATTTACCTGGCTGAATTAAAAATTAGCGAGCTGGAAGATCACATTGCAGGACTCTCAAAGGCACCGTTAAAGGATAAGGGGATGATGATGGAAAGGAGTAGCAAAGAGAAATGGAATATGTAAAGTACAGGTGCCAACCTCTGGATAATAGGAGGTACCAGAGGTGGAGGAAAAAAATCAAGAAATAAACTATTTGATAAAATGAGAACAAATTTCCCGAAATTAAATAAGAAATATTTTAGAATAAATAGGAGAAATCCCACTTCATTTTTAGAATTACCAGAAAGTCACAGTAATCTAATCTAGACAGTATGGTATTGGTAAAGGGATAGACACATAGATCAATTGAAGAGTAGAAAGCCCAGAAATATACAAAAAAAAAAACCTGGTCAAATGATTGTTGACCAAGGACAAGCTTTTCAGCAAATAGTGTTGGAACAACTGGACATTCATACGCAAAATTAAACTTCTACCCAAACCTCATACCTTACACAAAAGCAAAAACTATCTCAAAATTAATCGTATATCTAAAATTTTCCATTTTAGAAACTTTTAGAAAAAATCATAGGAAAAAGTCTTCACGACCTGACATTAGGCAAAGAATTCTTAAACCTGGCACCAAAAGTACAATCCATTATAAAATGACAAACTGTGCTTAATAAAAATTTAAAACATTAGTTTAACAAATGAAATGTTTAAGCAAGTGAAATGATAAACTACGTATTGGCAGAAAATATTTGCAAATCACTTGTACAAGAAAGGACTTCAATCTAGAATATATAAAGAACTCTCAAATTTAGCAGTACAAAATCAAACTCAATTAAAACTGAGCAAAAGACATGAACAGACACTTCAGCAAATAGGATATACAGATGGCACACAAAAAGGTGTGCAACAAAATTAGCCATTGAAGAAATGCAAATTAAAATCATATTGTTATGTCACTACCCAACAATTAGAAACTCTAAGATGAAAAAACAAACTACTGGTGATGAAGAGCAGCTGAACCTCTCATAGAGAGCAGGTGAATATTCAAAACACTACAGCTATGGTGCAAAAGGGTTGGGCAGTTTGTTATGAAGTTCAAGACACACTTACCGTATAATCAGCAATCCCACTTTTGGGTATTTACTCTATAGAAATGAAAGTGTATTTTCACACACACAAAATCCATTGATAGTAGCTCTATTCATAATCAACAAAATCTGGTACCAACCCATTTTTTCAATAGGTAAATGAATAAACAAACTGGGCTACATTCATTCCATGGAATACTACTCAGCAATTAAATAAAACAAGCTATTGATACACAAAACAACTTGGATGAATCTGAAAGGCATTCTGCTGAGTAAAATATGCAAGCCTAAAAATTTTATATAATATATGACTTCATTTATATGACATGGTCAAAAAGACAGAACTGTAGTAATTGGTATCAAATCAGTGGTTCCTGGAGATCAGAGATGGAGAATAGCACAAAGGAGTTTTGGGTATTGTGTTAGTCCGCTCAGGCTGCCATAACAAAATAGCACAGACTAGGTGGCAAAAACAACATAAATTTACTTTCTCACAGTTCTGGGGGCTATAAGTACAAAGCCAAGGTCCAGCAGGGTCAGTTTCTAGTGAGGGATCTCTTCCTGGCTTGCCAACGACCACTTCTCACTATGTCCTCACATGGCCTTTCCTCAGCAGTGTTTCTTCTTATAAGGACACTAATCCTATCAAATCAGGGTCCCACCTTTATGGACACATTTAACCTTAATTGCTTCCTTAGAGGGCACATCTTCAAATACAGCCACACTGGGGGATGAGGCCTCCACATACAAATTTTGGGGAGACACAAACTTTTAGTGCATAACATTCCACCCCTGGCACCTCCAAATTCCTGTCCTTCTTGCATCCAAAACACATTCATTCCATCCAACTGCCCCCAAAGTCTTAACTCATTCTAGCATCAACTCTAATGTCCAAAGTCTCATCTAAATCAGAGATGAGTGAGACTTGAGATACAATTTATGCAGAGGCAAAATTCCTCTCCAGCTGTGAATCTGTGAAACCTGACAAATTATGTGCTTCCAAAATGTAATGGTGGAACAGGCATAGGATAGACATTGCCATTCAAAAAGGAAGAAAACAGAAGGAAGAAAGGGGTGGTGAGTCACAAGCAAGTCCAAAATCTAGAAGGCAAATTCCGTTAGGTGCTAATGCTCAAGAATAATCCTCCGTGGTTTGATGCTGTGCCTTCCAGGCCCACTGGGGCAGCAATGTCACCTATACTGCCCTTTGGGGTAGCCTTGACCCTTTGACTCTCTGCGAGGGCCCCATTCCCACAGCATTCTGTGAAAGCCCTGCCCACCTGGCTCTCTGTGGTGGCTGCCTAGCCCAATGAATCTGAGGCGAGTGCCCTACTCTCTGAAACTGAGGAGGAGGCAGCCTTGTTCCTGGGCCTTGGTAGGATTGGCAGCCCTGATGATCTATGAATTGGCTTCAGGATTATTCTAACCTTCTCTTGAAGGATAACACATATTCGCAGCCTTCATTCATTCCACCCATTTTTCTCTGTTTCCTTTAGTCCCAACTGGCAGTGTCTCTGCTGGTGTAATCCCATCTCTATTCCTGACTTCTGCTGACATCTAATCGGATCCATAGTTCACATCCATACTAATCTCCTTACCAAATAGTTGTTCAGCCACATCCTTAGTGTTCTTTTCAAAATATGCTTTCTCATTTTTTGCAATATGGGTAGGTCGAGGATTTCCCAAATCTCCAAATTCTGGTTCTTTTTGCTTAATAATTCCTTCTTTAATTCATCTCTCTCCTCTCACATTTTACTATAGGCAGTCAGAAGAACCCAGGGTGCACCTTCAACATTTTCCTTAGAAATCTCATCAGCTAAATATTCAATTTCATTATCTACAAGTTCTATCTTCTACAAAACACTACATTACAATTTAGCCAAGTTCTTTGCCATGTTATAGTAAGAATGATTGCCTTTCTTCCATTTCCAATAACCTGTTCCTCATTTCCATCTGAAACCTCAACAGAATGGTCTTTAATGTCTGTATTTCTACCAACAGCACGTTCACGATCATTTATGTATTCTCTAAGAAGATGAAGGCTTTCTCTCCAGCTCTCCTCTTTTCTTTATGAGCTCTCACCAGAATTGCCTTTAATGTCCATATTTCTACCAACTGTCCTTCATGACAGTCCAGGCTTTTTCTAGCATGTACCTCTAAACTCCCCCAGCCTCTGCCTATTACCGAGTTCCAAGCTGCTTCACATATCTGGATATTTGTTACAGCAGCACTCTGCTTCTCAGTACCAAAATCTATACTAGTTGCTCCAGCTGCCATAACAAAATGCCATATACTAGGTGGCTTAAATAGTAGAAATTTGTTTTCTCACAGTTTTGGAGGCTATAAGTCAATGATTAAGGTCTGGCAGGGTCAGGTTTCTGGTGAGAGCTCTCTTCTTGGCTTGCTGATGGCCACCTTCTTACGTGTGCCCTCATATGGTCTTTCCTTGGTGCATGTGCACAGAGAGAAAGAGACAGTGAGCTCTCTGGTGTCTCTTCTTATAAGGACACTAACGCTATCAGATCAGGGCCCCTCCTTTATGACCTCATTTAACCTCAAGTACTTCCTTAGAGGCCTCATCTCCAAATATAGTCACATAGCAGGTTAAGGCTTCAATGTATGAATTTTGAGGGGAAACACAAACATTCAGTCCATACCAGGTGGTGATGGAATTATATTGTATTCTAATTGTGGTGGTGGTTACATAAATCTATAAATGTATGAAAATTCATAGAATTTTATATCAAAAAGTCATTTTTACTCAGTGATAATTTTAAAAAATATTATGATAAATCCAGATGGATTAAAAACAAAAAATCAGAGACAAAAAACCTCAGATTCAATTTATATTTTAAAATATACAAAAATATTCTGTCTCTAGCAGATGCACTTGAAACAAAACGTTGAAAATAAAACTATACCAAGTAAGGTAACAATCTTAATATTAGGCAGAATAAAATTTATGTCAAAAATTTCAATAGATAATGATAAATGTCACATACTTATACAAAGAACACTAGAAAAAAAAAGATATTACTATAATGAACATATATCCACCTAACAATATAACATTTTAATGTATATAGTGGTTATGTATAGTGGATTGAATTCTGGAAGAAATAAGTAAATCAAAAATTTAACTCATCCCTTTCAGAATTTATAAGTTGAGACAACAAAAACTGAGAAATAGAATATCTGTCATATAATTAACAAACTTTAGCCAATGAGTTTATCTTGAATATTATATTATGCATATAGAGAATACATGACCTTGTCAAATATTCATTACTTAGGCCGTAAAGGAAGAACTTCAATAAGTTCCAAAGAACCAGTATCATACAGATTGTTTTTTGAATCTAATAAAATGTGTTCCTGCTAAAATTTCCTATATTTTTGAAAAATAAATAATCCTTATGTTAAAAAAATCTTAGGGGGATTATAAAATATTTAGAATTGGATGAAAATTAATAGACTACATGCCAAAATTTGATTTAACCAAGAACTACATGGATAATTAAACATTAGAAAATACGTCAATGTGATTTACCAAATTGGTAGACAGAAAAAAGTCTATATGTTTATCTCAATAGATTCAGAGAGAGCTTTCTAAAAGTTCAACAACTATCTCTTTATTACATTAAAACGTAATGGTTAGAAAATTACATATAGAAGGAATTTTCCTTAGGTTGGTAAATGTTACATTCCAAAAATCTATAGCATGCATTATACTTAATAGGGGATCTTTAGATGGCTTCTCTGTAAGATCAGAATGAGATGAAAATGTCCACAAGTGTCATAATTTTTAATGTAGTTTTAGAAGTTCTAGACAATACTCTAAGGAAAGAAAAAAAATTGTCAAGTGTCAGGATTAGAAGGGAAGAGATAAAACTTTTGTTATGTATAGATCACATGGTAATTTAAATAGAAAATCCAAGAGAATTAAGACACAAGCTATTAAAATAACAAAATTTCGAAAAATTTCAGCTATACAGTCAATTTTCAAAGAGAACTATTTCTCTACAAGATAAAACTGCTAGAAAATATAATTATCTACAAAATATGAAACCATAATAAAAATAAAATATCATTAATAATAATGTTACTGTCATCCTGCAGAAAGAAGATGGACTTCCTCCTCACCCAAAATTTGGTCCAGACTTTGTCATACTCATACACGAAGAAGGTATGAAAAGGTTGATTACTCACATAATAAGGCTTTTAGGGATAACATGGCAGGCTTACCAGGCTGATCCGAAAATGGCTTGAGAGAGTGGAGAAAGAAGATTGGATTGGATTACTGTGATTAGGGAGTGGGGTCTGGGTAAGTATTCCTGTGCATGAACGTATGTTTGAATGGTTTCAAACTTCAACTGGTGCCAAAGGAGTGAGCGCTAGGGTTTCTTATCAGCTTGCCCAGATCTAGGGCACAAGGGTAACAGGAAGGGATGAAGCATTAAAGTTGTCAGTCAAACATCAAAAAAGTGGAATCATAGTCTTTATTACAAACAGTAAAAAAATTAACATAAAATCCCCATTGAAAAAAATTAGGTCAAGTGACATTAAAAAAGTTTTCAAAAATGAAAGACATTCCACGCACGTGAATAGGATTTCATAATATAAACATGTTAATTCTTCCTAAACTAATCTACAATATCAATGCAATCCCAATCAAATTCCTGTTGGAATTTGAGAATTTTTTTTAGAAACTCAATCATTTATTTAAAAATTAATGAGGGAAAGAATGTCTTTTGACAACTAAGACATTTTTTTGAAGAGAAATTAGCAAAAAGAATCATTAATCATATTAGATACAGATATTACAAAATTACATTAATACTATGAGTATGGTGCTGGCATAAAAAGAAACAAAAAGATTAATGGAATGGAGTAGAGATCTCAATGACAGATGCAAGTATATATGGGCACATATATTTAGAAAATCTGGAAAAGTTGGCACTAAAATTCAATGGCCAAAGGACATTTTAGCATAAGGTTTTGGACAAACTGGGTCATTACATGAAGAAAAATATAATTAGATCTCTATCAATAAACTTACCTAGCAGTTAGCTCTAGTTAGATTAAAAACCTAAAAGTTAGAGAAAAAAATTATCTATTTTTTCTTGTTAGTTTTAGTTGTCTTTGTCTTTATAGAAATTTGTTAATTTCACCTCAATTATTTAACAAAGTTATTTCGAGAATTCCCTTATAATAATTTTTCTTTCTTTTAGGTTAGTAATAATGCTCCTTCTTCCATTCCTGATTTTTGTAATTTGAATCTTCTCTTTTCTTCTTGATCAGTCTCAGTAAAGGTTTATGCATGTTGCTGATCTTTTCAAAAAGCTATCTGTTGGTTTCCTTGATTTTCTCTATAGTTTTTCTATTATCTATTTTATTTATTTCTGATCTAACCTTTATTATTTCCTTCCATCTGTTTGCCCTGGCTTTAGTTTGTTCTCTTTCTAGTTTTTAAAGACTGGAGGTCAGGTTATTGATTAAAATCTTTCTTTCTTTTTTAAAAGAAGTATGTATAGCTTTAAACTTCCCTCTAAGTACTGATTTAGCTGTATCCCATAGTTTTAGCCTGTTGTGTTTTCATTTACATTTATTTAAAGTATTTTCTAATTTCCTTTGCAATTGCTTCCTTGACTCATTGTTTATTTAGAAGTATGTTGTTTAATTTTCACAAATTTACTTCTGTTTTTGATTTCTAACATTATTCCATTTTTGTTGGAGAATCTATTCTGTATAATTTAAATGCCTTAAAATTTGTTGACTTGATTTGGAGCCTAACATTATGGTTTATCCATAGATATTCCATGTGAAAAAATCCTAAACAAAATATTAGCAAATTGAGTCCAACAATGGATAAAAAGAATTATATACCATGACCAAGTGTAATTTATCCCAGGTATGCAAAACTGGTTTAACATTTGAAAGCCAATTAATATAATCTATTACATCAACAGGCTAAAACAGAAAAATCACATGATGATATCAATAGATGGCATAAAAAACATTTGAGAAAATCCAACGCCCATGCATTATAAAAACTCTCAGTAGGAATAGAGGGGAAACCCCTCAACTCAATAAAGAATATCTACGAAGAAACCTATATCTAACATCAAACCTAACGGTAAGAAACAGTTTTCCCAATAAGATCAGAAAAAGGCAAGGATGTCACCTCTCACCAATCCTTTTAAAAATCATACTGGAAGTACTAGCTAATGCAAAAAGACAAGAAAAAGAAATAAAAGGTATACAGATTGGGAAGGAAAACTAGAGTTGTCTTTGTTCCCAGATGACAAACTTGTCTATGTGGAAAATCCAAAAAAATTGACAAAAAAAACTCCAGGAACTAATGAAAGATTATAACAAGGTTGTAGGATAAGGTTAATGTACAAAAGTTAATCACTTTCATATATACCAGCAATTAACACATGGAAGTTGAAATTAGCAACACATTGCCATTTACATTAGAACCCAAAAACCAAAATATTCAGGAACCCAAAAACCAAAATATTTAGGTATAAAAATAACAAAATATATATAAGATCTATATGAGGAAAACTATAAAACTCTGATTAATTAAATCAAAGAACTAAATAAGTGAAGAGATATTCCATGCTCATGAATGGGAAGACTGAATATTGTCAAGATATCGGTTCTGGGGCCGGCCCCATGGCTTAGCGGTTAAGTGCATGCACTCCGATACTGGTGGCCTGGGTTCGGATCCCAGGTGCGCACCGACGCACTGCTTGCCCAGCCATGCTGAGGCAGTGTCCCACATACAGCAGCTAGAAGGATGTGCAAGTATGACATACAACTATCTACTGGGGCTTTGGGGAGAAAAAGGGAAAAAAAGGAGGAGGATTGGCAATAGATGTTAGCTCAGGGCTGGTCTTCCTCAGCAAAAAGAGGAGGATTGGCATGGATGATAGCTCAGGGCTGATCTTCTTCACCAGAAAAAAAAAAAGTTATCAGTTCTTCTCAACTTGATCTATAGATTCACCACCATCCCAGTAAAAATCCCAGCAGGTTATTTTGTGGACATTGAGAAATTGATTCTAAAGTTTATATGGAGAAATAAAAGACACAGAATAGCCAATACAATACTGAAGGAGAAGAATAAACTTGGAAGACTGACACTACCCAATTTCAAGACTTACCATAAATCTACAGTAATCAAGACAATGTTGTATTGGTGAAAATGTAAACAAATAAATCAATGGAATGGAATAGAGAGCCCAGAAATAGATATAGAGTCAACTGATCTTTGACAAAGGAGCAAAGGTAGTACAATGGAGAAAAGATAGTATTTTTAACAAATGGTTCTGGAACAACTGGCCATCCATAGGCAAAAAATAAATCTAGGCACAGAACTTATACACTTCACAAAAATTAACTCAAAATGGAACAAAGACATAAATGTAAAACACAAACTATAAAACTCCTAGAAGACAACATACGAGAAAATCTAGATGACCTTGGGTTTGGCAATGACTTTTTAGATGCAACATGAACGCATGATCCATGAAAGAAACAATTGATAAACTGTGCTTTATTAAAATTAAAAATTTCTACTTGAAAGACACTGTCACGAGAATGAAAGACAAGGCACAGAGTGGGAGAAAATATTTGCAAAAAACGTATCTGATAAAGCAGTGTTATCCATAGTATAAAAAGAACTCTTTAAAATCAACAACCAGAAAATGAATAACCCAAATAAAAAATGGGCCAAAGACCTGAACAGACTTCTAGCCAAAGAAGATACAAAGATGACAAATAAGCATATGACAAGATGCTCAATATCATATGTCACTAGAGAAATGCAAATTAAAACAATAATGAGATACCAATACACACCTATTAAAATGGCCAAAATCCAGAACATTGACAACAACAAATGATGGTAAGGATGTAATAGGAACTCTCATTCATTGCTGGTGGGAATGCAAAATGGTACAGCCACTTTGGAAAACATTTTGGCAGTTTCTTACAAAACTAAACAAACTCTTAGCATATGATTCAACAATTGCAGTTATTCATAATTAGCCAAATGAATTGAAAAGTATGTCCATACAAAAACCTGCACACTGATGTTTATAATAGCTTTATTCATAATTGCCAGAACTTGGAAACAACCAAGATATCCTTAATTAGGTGAGTGGATAAATAAACTGTGGTACATCAATACAATGGAAGATAATTCAGAAATAAAAAGAAATAAACTATCAAGCCATGAAAAGAAATGGATAAATCTTACATACGTACTAAGTAAAAGAACCTAACCTGAGAAGGCTACATACTGTATGATTTCAACTATATAACATTCTAGAAAATGCAAACTATGGAGCCAGTGAAAAGATGAGTGGTTGCCCGGGGTTAGGTGGGAGGCAAGTATGAACAGGCAGAGCACAGAGGACATTTAAGGAAGTGAAACTATTCTGTAAAATACTGCAATGGGAGATAAATGTCATTATACGTTTGTCCAAACCCCTAGAATGCACAACACCAAGAGTGAACTCATGTAAAATATAGACTTAGGGTAATAATGATGTGTTAATATAGGTTCATCGCTTGTAACAAATGTACCACTTTGTGGGGACGATGATCATGAGGGAGGTTATGCGTGTGTGGGATCTGGGAGTATATGAGAAATCTCTGTACCTTCTGCTCAATTTTGCTGTGAACCTTAAACTGCTCTAAAAAATAAACTCTGTTAAAAATTAAATAAGGGCAGATCATTGACTTAGGTTTAAAATATACAGTCATAAAATTTTTGGAAGAAAACTTAGAAAATAATCTTTGGAATCTAGTGTTCGTCAAATAGTTCTTGGACATGATAACAAAAGCACAATCCATATCAGGGAAGGTTGATAAATCAGACTATGTGAAAATTGAAATTTTTTGTCTTTTGAAGGCTCTAGTTGGGGGGATGAAGAGACAGGCTATGGAGTGTGGGAAAGTGCTTGCAACCCACATTTCCAGTGGTAATCTGTATCTATTTTGTATGCAGAACTCTCAAAACTCAACAGTAAGAAAATCCAATAACCCAATTAGAACATGGTCAGAAGCCATGAAGAGACATTTCACTAAACAAGATGTATAAAGGGCAAGTGAGCAAATAAAAACATGTTCAACATCATTAGCTATTGGTTAGGTGCAAATTGAAACTACAATGAGATATCACTGCACACCTACCACAGGGGCTAAAATAAAAGTCTAGAGGGAGGGAGGTTCAAGACAGTGATGTAGGAAGATCCTAAACTCACCTCCTCCCACAGATACAACAAATATACAACTACATATGAAACAAATATCTCTGAAAAGACCCTGAGAACTAGCTGAACATGCACTCCACAACAAAGGATAAAAGGGCTACATCGAGATGGGTAGGAGAGGCAGGGACACATTCTCACCAAAAACTTGATGCCTGGCGCAGTGACCCACAATTGCGAGGGATCTCAAAAACAAACAAACAAATAAACAAACAGACACAGCTTCTACCTGAGGAGCAAGGGCCTTGTACCCCACATCAGGCACCCCAACACTTGGGTCCTGCATCAGGGAAACAAGTTTCCAAAATGTCTGGCTTTGAAAACCAGTGGGGCTTACATTCAAGAGAAACATAGGGCTATAGGGAATGAAGATCCTACTCTTAAAGGGCTCGTGTGCACACTCACTCACCCTGGGATCCAGCACAAAAAACAGCAGTTTGAAAAAAGCCTAGACCATACGTAAAAGAGATTTACTTGCTAATCTTAAAATGTCTGCCAGAGAAGCAGAAGTCTGCTGGGACTCTCTCTGGGGATGAACACTGACGGACGCCATTTTTATGGACTCCCTCCACCTTGTTGGTGCCAGAACTGGTGGGTGCCATTTTTTCACCCTCATTCAAATCTGCTACTGGTAGCAAGTGAGCAGCCCTGTGCTGCTTGCACATGGCACCACCTCATGTGGCAGGTAAGCAGCCCTGTCTCCTGGCCCCATGCCACTCACACACAGCAATGACAGATATGGAAGGCAAGAAGCCCCACCCATGCACATCATGTGCATGACCTCATCAGAGCAAATGGGTGTACACGGCCCACACAGGGGATGCCCTTTGAGTACCTAGCTCTGGTGGTCATGGGGGATTGCCCTTCTTGGCCCCACATGACATCTCCTACACACTACTGCTCCTTAAATACTGGGAGAGGTAGTTGATTTGCCTAATACATAGAAACAAACACAGAGAGTCAGGCAAAATGAGGTAGAGGAATAAGCTCAGAACAAAAGAACAAGACAAAACACCAGAAAAAAATATTAATGAAACAGAAATAAGCAATCTGCCTGATAAAGAGTTCAAAGTAATCGTCATCAAGTTGCTCACCGAACTCAGAAGAATGGATGAACACAGTGAGATCTTCAACAAAGATTAAGAAAATATAAGAAAGTCCCAAACAAAAGGTACAGAGCTGAAGAATACAATAACTGAACTGAAAAATACACTAGAGGGTTTCAACAGCAGACTGGATGAAGCTGAAGAATGCATCAGAGAGCTGGAAGACAAAGCAATAGAACTCACCCAGACAGAGCAGCAAATATAAAAAAGAATTTTAAAAAATGAAGACAACTCAAGGGACCTTTGGGACAATTTCAAGTGGAATAAAATTAACATTATAGGGGTCCCAGAAGAAGAGAGAGTGAAAGGGCCAGAAAACTTATCTGAAGAAATAATGGCTGAAAACTTTCCTAATCTGAGGAAGGAAACAGACACACAGGTCCAGGAAACCCAGAGAGTTCCAAATAAGATGAACCCAAAGAGATCCACTCCAAGACACATTATAATTAAAAAGGCAAAATTTAAAGATAAAGAGAGAATCTTAAAAGCAGCGAAACCAGTTCTAAGAGGGAAGTTTGTAGCAATACAGGCCTACCATAAGAAACAACAAAATCTCAAATAAACAATCTAACTTTACATCTAATGGAGCTAGAAAAAGAAGAATAAACAAAGCCCAAATTCAGTAGAAGGAAAGAAATATAAAAATCAAAGCAGAAATAAATAAAATAGACTAAAAAGATAATACAAAAGATAAATGAAACTAAGAGCCAATTCCTGGAAAAGTTCTTTGAAAAGATAAAGTTGACAAACCTTTAGCTAGACTAACCAAGAAACATAGGGCTCTAATAAACAAAATTAGAAATGAAAGAGGAGAAGTTACAACTGATACCACAGATACAAAGGATCATAAGAGACTACTATGGACAATTATATGCCAACAAATTGGCCAACTTAGAAGAAATGCATAAATTCCTAGAAATAAAAAATCTTCCAAGACTGAATCATGAAGAAAGAGAAAATCTGAATAGACTGATTACAGGTAAGGAGATTGATTCAGTAATCAAAAATCTCCCAAAAAAACAAAAGTCCAGGACCAGAGAGCTTCACTGGTGAATTCTACCAAACATTGAAAGATTTAATACATAGCCTTCTCAAACTGTTCCAAAAACTGAAGAGCAGAGAATGCTTCCAAACTCACTTTATAAGGCCAGCATTACCCTGATACCAAAACCAGACCAGGACACCACAAAAAATTACTGGCCAATATCATTGATGAACATAGATGCAAAAATCCTCAACAAAATATTAGCAAACCAAATTCAACAATACATTCAAAGGATCATACACCATGACCTCGTGATATTTATTCCAGGGATGCAAGGATGGTTCATCGTTTGCAAATCAGTAAAATGTGATATGCCATATTAACAAAATGAAGGATAAAAATCATATGATCCTCTCAATAGATGCAGAAAAAGCATTTGACAAAACTCAGCAATCATTTATGAGAAAAACTCTCAACAAAGTGGATAGAGAGGGAACATAACTCAACATAATAAAGACCATCAGTGACAAACCCACAGCTAACATCATATTCAATGGTGAAAAGCTGAAAGCTTTCCCTCTAAGATCAGGAATAAGACAAAGATGACACTCTTGCCACTTTTATTCAACATAGAATTGGAAGTCCTAACCACAGCAATTAGACAAGAAAAAGAAATAAGCCACTCAATTTGGAAAGGAAGAAGCAAACTATCACTATTTGCAAATGACATGATACAGAAAGCCAAAAAGACCCCATCAAAAAACTGTTAGAACTAATAAATAAATTCAGTAAAGTAGCAGGATACAAAATCAATATACAGAAATCTGTGGCTTTTCTATATGCTAATAATGAACCATCAGAAAGAGAAATTAGAAAACAATCCCATTTATAATTGCACCAAAAATAATAAAATTCCTAGGAATAAATTTAACCAAAGAGGTGAAAGACCTGTACACTGAAAAGTATAAGACACTGATGAAACAAACTGAAGAAGATAAGAATAAATGGACAGATATTCTGTGTTCAAAGATTGGAAGAATTAATATTGTTAAAATGTCCATACTATCCAAAGCAATCTACAGATTTAGTGCAATCCCTATCAAAATTCCAATGATATTTTTCACAGAAATAGAACAAATAATTATAAATCTTCTATGGAACCACAAAAGATCTTGAATAGCCAAAGTAAACTTGAGAAAGAAAAACAAAGCTGGAGGCATCAAACGCCCTTATTTCAAACTATACTACAAAGCTATAGTAATCAAAACAGTATGGTATTGGCATAACAACAGACACACAAGTCAATGGAACAGAATTGAGACCCTAGAACTAAACTGATACATATATGGACAATTAATTTATGACAAAAGAAGCAAGAACATACAATGGATAAAGGAGAGTCTCTTCAATAAATGGTGTTGAGAAAACTGGACAGCTACATGCAAAAGCATGAAACTAGACCACTATCTTACACCATAAAAAAAGTTAACTCAAAAAGGGTTAAAGACTTGAATGTAAGACCTGAAACCATAAAATTCCTAGAAGAAAACATAGGCAGTAATCTCTTTGACATTGGTCTTAGCGATATTTCTGTGGTTCTGACTTCAAAGACAAGGGAAACAAAAGCAAAATAAACAAACGGGGCTACATCAAACTAAAAAGCTTCTGCATGGCAAAGGAAACCATCATCAAAATGAAGAGGCAACCTACTGAATGGAAGGAGATATTTGCAAATGATATATCCAACAAGGAGTTAATATCCAAAATATATGAAGAACTCATAAACTCAACAGCAAAAAACCCCAAACAATATGATTAAAAAATAAGCAGAGCTGAATAGTCATTTTTCTAAAGAAGACATACAGATGGCCAACAGGCACATGAAAAGATGCTCAATATCACTAATTATTAGGGAAATGCAAATCAAAACCACAATGAGATATATCACCACACATCTGTTAGAATGGCTATTATCAAAAAGGCAAGAAGTAGTAAATGTTGGAGAGGATGTGGAGAAAAGGAAACTCTCGTACACTGTTGGTGGAAATTTAAATTGGTGTAGCCACTATGGAAAACGGCATGGAGATTCCTCAAAAAATTAAGAATACAACTACCGTGTGATCCAGTTAGTCTGCCTCTGGGCATTTATCCAAAGAATACAATAACACTAATCTGAAAATATATATGCGCTCCTATTTTCATTGCAGCATTATTTATAACAGCCAAGATATGGAAACAACATAAATGTCCATCAATGGGTTAATGCATAAAGAAGATGTGGTATATATACACAACGGAATACTACTTAGCGACAAAAAGAATGAAATCTTGCCATTTGCAACAACACAGTTGGACCTTGAGGGTATTATGCTAAGTGAAATAAGTCAGACAAAGAAAGGGAAATATATGATCTCACTCATATGTGGAATCTAAAAAGATAAAACAAATGAACAAACAAAACAAAAACAAAAACAACTTCACAGATACAGAGAACAGATTGGTGGTTACTAGAGGGGAAGGATGTTGGGGTATGGGCAAAATGGGTGAAGGGAGTCAACTGTATGGTGATGGATGGTAACAAGACTTTTGGTGGTGATCACTTTGTAGTGTATACAGATGTCGAGTTATAATGTTGTGCACCTGAAACTTATATAATGTTATATACCAATTTTACCTCAACTGAAAAAAAATCTAACAACATCCAATGCTGTCAAGTGTGCAGAGAAACTTTATCATTTACACATTGCTGATGAAAGTGTGATAAAATGCTGCCACGCTAGAAAATAGTCTGGCAGTTTCTAGAAAAATCTAAGCATACAAGTACCATACAGCCTGCCAGTTGTACTCCTGGCATTTATTCCAGAGAAATGAAAACTTATGTTTACTCAGGGGTCTGTGCACAGCTGCTTGTAGCAGCTTTGTTCATGGGAGCCAAAATGGAATGGCCCAGATGTCCTTCAGTAAATGAACATTTGAACAGACTTTAATTAATCTATGCCATGGAATATTGTTCAGCCATGGAAAAGGTACACACCATCTGATGAAACTCTCAGATATGCTGGATGAAAAGAGCTAATCCCAAAAGATTACTTACTGGATTACTCACTGGATTATTCTATTTATATGACATTGTTCAAATGACAAAATTATAGAAATGGAGAACAGATTGGTGGTTGCCAGAGTTTAAGGAGAGGTGGAGGTGGGAGATTGGCTATGGGACACGTGGGTTTAAGTGGGCAACATGAGGGACCCTTGTGGTGATGGAAATGTTGTATCTTGACCGTGTCAATGTCACTATCCTGGTTGTGACATTGTAGCATAATTTTCAAGATATTACCTTTGAGGCCAATGAGTAAAGGGCACATAGGATCTCTCTATATTACTTCTTACAGCCACATATGATCTACAATTACCTTAAATAAAAAGTTTACCTTAAAAAATTAAACCATAAACATTTTAGAAGAAAATTTAACTATTGAATTTCGAAGGGGAAAAAGATCTCCTGAGAAGCAACAGTGATAGAAATTATAAGTAATAAATGTTTCAGAGTTTTAAAAGCTGAATATGCCAAAAATGTTAGCAAATTTTGATGCAAATATGAATTAAAATAATGATAACATTTTTTATGAACCAATTTGAAAAAATATTTAATTAATGTTGCCAATCAACACAAGAATTCTAATGCATTCTGGTGATAAATACTATAAATTTCTGTGTGTCTACTTGAGCCTCCAGAAATTTCATGCACTTTGAACCAGTAACTACAAATGTGAGAATCTGTTGTTGGGAAATAATCTGAGCTAATTTCTGATTACAAAAAAGGTAGTTGCCAATTGTACTGATCTAAATACTTTTGTTAGTAAAATATTAGAAACAGTCTCAGTGTCCAACAGTATACAGAAATTGTTACATAAAATATAACAGCCTTAAAAATATTAATCAAGAATAATATCTATTTGAATAACATTTAATGACATAGGAAAATGCTCATGATATAATAGTAAATGACATCATGATACAAAACCTTGAGTGTGTGTGCTTAGTAAATTGATCAAACCTAAACAATATACAACCCTGAGTGTTGGAATGAGTCAATTTTTTCATTCTCTGTAGTTTCCAAATGCATAAATCATTTCATAATAATAGAGTGACTATAAATTATAGATAAACTGAAAAAATAAAACCGAGTTTATTACAAGAATAAATTGT